GTAGGATGGGATTGGACTGCGTGGGTGATGTTGGAGATCAGGTACCGGTTGCCAAGTGGGTTGATGTGAAGTCCGTCGGGTGTGAAGAAGGGGTAGCGGTTCCAGAACAGATTAAAATTGTCTATAAAACCAAAGTTGTGATGGAGTGATGTTTGATTGAGCCAGGTGTTGAGTGATAAAATCCTGCTAAAACGCTCCCTGCCGCGGTTCATAGTGGGCAGAGGACCGGAGATAAAAACAGTTTTCCCTGAGTTTGATAAAAGGTTAAAAAGATCCTTAAAATGGCGTTTTGTGGTCTCGGATTGGCGGAGTGAAGCGTCATTTGTGCCGACATGAATTATGATCCGGGTTATTGTGGAGGGTGCTGTACCTTTTCATCTTTGGGACAACGCTGGGAAAGGACAGCACCCACTCCGGAATCAGAGGCATCGACTTCAACAATGAACTGTCTGGAAGGATCTGGGTGAGATAGAACTGGGGCTGTAACAAAAAGTTCTTTTAGTTTGGAGAAGGAGGCGTCAGCATCACCGGACCACTGGAAGGGCAACAATGTGGAGGTCAACAGGGTTAGTGGGGCTGCTTTTCTACTGTAATCCTTGATGAATCTCCTGTAGAAATTGGCAAATCCCAAAAAACGTTGGAGTTGCTTTCGTGTCTCAGGTCTAGGCCACTCAGCCACAGCTCTTACTTTAGCCGGATCCGGTTTTAGGTGTCCCTGCTCAATGACAAACCCAAGAAAGTTTACTGAGGCAGCGTGGAATTCACATTTCTCCGCCTTCACAAAGAGTTTGTTTTCAAGCAGTCTTTGAAGGACCAACCTGACATGTTCTACATGTTCCTTAGCATTCCTGGAAAATATCAAAATATCGTCCAGGTAAACGAATACAAAACGATTGAGCATGTCCCGGAGCACATCATTCACCAGTGCTTGGAAGACCGCTGGAGCATTAGTTAGACCGAACGGCATCACCAGATACTCAAAATGCCCCAAGGGTGTGTTAAATGCTGTCTTCCACTCGTCTCCTTGGCGGACGCGAACTAAATGGTAAGCATTACGGAGGTCTAACTTTGTGAAAACTGGCTTGATGTAGAGGCTCGAAAGCAGAATCAATAAGTGGCAGAGGATATTTATTCTTTATGGTGATATCATTTAACCCTCGATAGTCAATGCAGGGCCTTAACGTCTTATCTTTCTTTTCCACGAAGAAAAAACCAGCGCCAACAGGGGAAGAGGAGGGACGGATCAACCCGGAAGTCAGAGAGTCTTTAATATACTGTTCCATAGTCTCCCTCTCAGGACGAGAAAGTTTGTACAAGCGGCTAGTAGGCAAAGGGGCACCCGGAAGTAAATCAATAGCACAATCATAAGGGCGGTGGGGAGGGAGAGACAGTGCCCTTTCTTTACTGAATACTTGTGACAAATCATGGTACACGGAGGGAACAGCGGTCAGGTCAGTAAGGCTAGGAGGAGTGCCCTTTAAGCCCTCGCAAACAGGTATGGCCGACTTAAGACAATTAGAGTGACAGTGAACACTCCAACTGTTAATTTTATTGGACGGCCAGTCTATTTGGGGATTGTGAAGTTTTAGCCACGGAAGTCCCAAAACTACAGGAGCTAAAGGAGAAGAAATAACCAACAAACGGATCTCTTCCTGGTGATTACCCGAGAGAATGAGGATGACTGGTACAGTAATGTGAGTAATCTTGGCTAGGTGACTTCCATTTAATGCATTAACCTCCCTGGGGCACTCAAGTGGCTCAGTTGGTATGTTGGCTTCCAGTACAATCGTAGAGTCAATAAAATTATCGTCTGCGCCTGAATCGACAAAACAGTGGAGTGAAAGAGACTCACGGGACCAAAACATGGAGGCCTGGAGAAGAAGCCGGTCAGAAGACGGCTGCGGAGAGACAGTTTGGCTCACTAGGATCTCTCCAGTCACAGGTGAGCCTACTCTTTTGGCAGTCGTGGGCATGAAGTGACGTTATGTCCCTCTTGTCCACAGTAGAGGCAGAGACCAGACATCTGACGGCGGTGGCGTTCTGTTTGAGACAGCCGGGTTCGGCCTAGCTGCATAGGCTCCTCAGCATCAGAGGATCTAGAGTTTCGAGAAGGCCTAGAAGAAAAACAAGGTGCAGGGGAGGGGGTAGGAGATGATGCGGGCGCATAAAAGACCACCAGATGATGGCGGGCGTGACCTTCTCTCCCTGTGTCTTTCTCTGAGTCTATTATCTAGACGTGTGGCCAAAGAGATTAGTTCATCAAGGCTGTTAGTTTCATCTCTGGCAGCAAGCTCATCCTTCACGCTGTCTGCCAACCCTCTGAAAAATGCACTTTGTAGGGCGGTGTCATCCCAACCACTCTCATTAGCAAGGATACGGAAGTCTATGGCATATTGGGCAACGGAGGAGGTTCCCTGGTTAAGAGCTAGCATTCTCTTAGCTGCTTCTTTGCCCTTCACTGGGTGGTCAAATAGCTTACGCATTTCATTAGAAAAAACTAAATAGGAGCGAAAAATGTCTGAGTTGCTCTCCCATGCTGCTGTAACCCACTGAGATGCTTTTCCAGTTAATAAACTTATAACGAAGGCAATGCGAGACTTATCTGATGCATAAGTTTGGGGCTGCTGATCGAAAACCAGAGAACACTGGAGGAGGAACCGACCACATGCACCAAGATCCCCCGCATAACGCTCCGGAGTGGGTATGTGAGGTTCACGTTGAGCTGGAGCAAGAGGCTGTGAAGACTAGTGACAGATGGGGGCGTGACAAGTAGTTTTGTAAGAGATGACGACGTTAAAGGCCCGTGTTTCGTCCGTCTCTTAGGTCAAGAGCTGAAGTCATGAAAAGGCTCCTCCTGTAAACGTGCCACAATCTCCAATTTTGGTTTAAAAAAATATATGCTCACCCTCAGTTCCCTCGGCTGTCTTGACTCCAGATTCCTTCTCATGGAGCTAGCTTGACTTAGCTCTGATTGGCTTCTGGGAGTTCTGCCGAGACTGAAATAATCTTTTATATAGAGTCATTGACTTTACATGTGTTTTGAACCGTGCAAAAAAGGAACAGACAAACACAACAAAGAGGCAGTTTGGAACACTCAGAATATGACCATACATGCACGTGAAAGCCAGATCCTGTGAGACCTCTGAAGCTAAGCAGGACAGGGCCTGGTTAGTACTGGGATGGGAGACCTCTGGGTGGGTGTAAAGTGTCAAACTGTGGTTGTGTAAAACCCTTCACCCACATTAGAATGAGTCTGGTGTGTGTGTGAAGGATAAAGGTTGGTGAACTGTTGGTGGTGGTCACAGATTGGCACAGACTGGTTGCCTCGTGCCCCAGGGCAGCTGTGGCCACTGTAGGAGTTTACCACCACGTGTACAGAGTGAATGAATAATGACATGTGAAGTGTCTTTTATTGTCCAAATAACCTCTGTATAAACCTGATGCATTATTATCATTATAATAATAAGAGTTTCCATAATTTCATTTCACATCGTTTCGTCAAACAGGAGATTTGTGGAGAAATGATGACAAACCACTGATGTACTGGTTGAACATCTTGAACGACACATTTTGTCTCCACGTCTGATAATTCTTGTCTCTAAGTTTTACCCTTTTTTTAATCGCACATTGATTTCTTGTCAGTCCACGCTTCAGCCGAGACAACAATCCACAGGAGCAGCTAAACTCTGAGGTGTGTGGCTTCGCCCTCTCTCTCTGTGTTTATATCACTCTGCGTTCGTCTGAGGACAGCTCTAATGAGCCATGGGACAATAAGCGGCACAAACACATGTAGAGCGTGAGGGGCCAAAGGAACAGAGTCAGAGTCTCTGATGAAGGAGCTCATACACAAGGGCTGGGGCTGTTCAGGACCATAAAGATACACCACAGACACCATGTGTCTTATGGACAAGAAACATATCAGCTGTAGTCTGTACCACCCAAATAAGTGACTCATTTTGCTTTCTGATTGGATAATCTGTTAAATATGATGTGCCTTATGTCCATTGTATTTAGATTTCACATGTTTATATTATATTGACACCATAGACGGTTCACCATCCGAAGGTTTATACATGTTTAGAATCAACCCATAAAAACACCAGCGTCTCAAAGCCAGACTGTCTAAGCTGACGTTGGCAAATTAAAGCTACTCTGAGGCCAAGGAGAAGGATTTTATGGAAACGATGACACTTTTTCTTTCAAATGTCAGCTTATGCTGGATGAGTGCCAGATATGTTTTTTTAAATTATTTTTAATGAACGTTTGGGCGTTCTGTTAGAAGCTGAGGTCTGGGTCACGTTATTGTCCTGTAGGAAAATGTGTCCTCTGCATTTAACCCATCCGTCCGACACCCAACTTCCCACTTCCAGCGTTAGATGAGAACTCTAGTAATTGAATATTTTCTACATAATATGAAAGGTTGTTATTCAAATATGTGGATTTTTTTAAAGGCCCAGAATAAACATAAATAATCCATGATATTCAGTCAGACTTCTGAACATGGGCCATATATCTTTGCTGCTCTTCCTCTGTGTTTCAGACTGGGTTAGGCCGTCCAGGGGTCTGAGGTCTGAGGTCGGCACGCCTTCGTTCACCTGTTAAAACAAATGTTGAACCCAAACCCTGCAACCAGAACCTCCCCAGCAGCGGTGATGTCACACACGTTTGTGAGAGCAGCTGGACGAGGGCGACCCATGCTGGTAAGTTTCACCCCTGGTCACAAGCCACAAGGTCACAGGTCACATGGTCACATGGTCACAGGCCACATGGTCACAGGCCACATGGTCACAGGCCACATGGTCACAGGCCACATGGTCACAGGCCACATGGTAACAGGCCACATGGTCACAGGCCACATGGTCACAGGCCACATGGTCACATGGTCACAGGCCACATGGTCACAGGCCACATGGTCACAGGCCACATGGTCACATGGTCACAGGCCACATGGTCACAGGCCACATGGTCACAGGCCACATGGTCACAGGCCACATGGTCACATGGTCACAGGCCACATGGTCACAGGCCACATGGTAACAGGCCACAGGCCACATGGTCACATGGTCACAGGCCACATGGTCACAGGCCAGATGGTCACAGGCCACATGGTCACAGGCCACATGGTCACAGGCCACAAGGTCACAGAACACATGGTCACAGGCCACATGGTCACAGGCCACATGGTCACAGGCCACAAGGTCACAGGCCACAAGGTCACAGGCCACAAGGTCACAGGCCACATCGTCACAGGCCACATGGTCACAGGCCACATGGTCACAGGCCACATGGTCACAGGCCACAAACAATAACACATAGAACAACGGATTGTACACAAGCGCACATGGTGGCTGAGTGGATAGCACTCTCGCCTCTCAGCAAGAAGGTCCTGGGTTCGAATCCCGGTCGGACCAGGGCCTTTCTGAGTGGAGTTTGCATGTTCTCCCCGTGTCTGCATAGGTTTCCTCCGGGTGCTCCGGTTTCCCCTACCACTAAAAATAAGTACAATAGGTCTGGCATGCGCCTCCTGTACTGGCCCCGCTCCCAAAAAATGTAAACCGCTTTGAGACTCCGATGTGTAGTGAAAAGGCAGTCTATAAATAAAGATTACTTACTTACACGGGAAGCATGAGAGTCTGGTTTACTATTGACAGTTCACCGTAGAACTAGCAAACACAAAAAGACTCATCTTAGGAGGCAGTACATAAATAATACACACCAAATATTCCTTGACGCACCCAAACATACACATATGGTAACTTTGGACTGCAACTTGCAATGTAACTTTTCTTTCTAACAAATCTTTACTTGCTTAACTTAAGCCTGGCTCACACGGCAGGATATTTAGGCCGATTTAGACCCGATTTACCCCTTACCAATCTTAAGAAACGCTCCGATTTCCGTAACAAAATCTTACAGATTATCCTGCCGTGTGTGGTGTGTTAAGACTGCACTCGTCGCTCGGAAGGACATCGGGACTGCTCCCGATCTCAAATCGGGGATATCCAAGATGTTGGATTGTTTTGGCCCGATTTCTGTGGTGTCCCCCGAGGACAAGCGAGCGCGTTGCCATGACTACGGCGTGTAGCCAATAAGAAGACGAGGTGACAAGCCGGTGAGGAAACACCGGAAAAAAACCAAAATACAGCAGCATGGCGCACCAGAAAGTTCGGTGGACATCAGAGATGGAGGAGAAACTAGTAGACATGTGGCAACACCGTGAATGTTTGTATGACGTGTCGAGTAAAAGTTATCATAACAGAAATGACAAGGAGAGGAATTGGGCAGAAATTGCGGCTGCACTTGAGATACCAGGTAAGTGTTGGCATAAGGCCTATTCAGACGGGATAAGAACACTAAATGATCAGACTGGTTGGTTGTGTTTGCACGTTCACTTTTCACTCTGTCCTAATACAGTACAGACATTGATGCAGCCGTTACTGCTTGTTCGTTTGCGCGTATGTAAAGTTTCATGTCTAGCAGAGTATGTGGTGCGTTCACGGGTAGTCCGTACAAACAGTATTGTTGAACAGCACAGACAGTACGGTCCAGAGAACCGTAGAGCAGTAAAATCCACATGTATGTGTTTGTCCTCATGATCTCTGTTGCTGTTGTGGTCAGACGAGAATCTTCATGGGCTGCGTGAACGCGCACGTGCGGCCCTTATGTCAGTGAAATTTACAGACATTGCTTATCCCGTGTGAATGCACTGATCTCAGAGGTCCTCCGCGATTATCACAAATTACCAGGGGTCCACAGGTACTAATCCCGTCCGAATAGGGCTATACACTTACCAATTGCTAGCATGACGATAATAGTAAGTTAATATAAATCTCTCGTGTTTGTTCCTGTCAGTGGAAGAAGTGAAGACAAGGGCCACATCTTTAAGAACCCAGTTCAGCAAGCTTCTGAAAAGTAAACCAAGTGGGACTTTTGAGAAGCCACTGACAGGCAAACAAAGATGGCTCATGAAGACCCTAATGTTTCTGAGGAGGCATGTCACTCAACGTGCCACTGAAAGCAGCGTATGTAGCCTAACTTGTTCATCGATATTAAAGTTTCATGTCTGAAAATCCCTTCTTATCTTTCATATAGCTGCCTCAATCAATTAAAGATGGCCCGGCTGCAGAGAGGGACCCTTTGAGTGACACAGAGGACAACTTCTCTTTGATGTCTGAAGGAACATCTACCGAGGAACATTCTCTTCTCCAGAATGATGCAGACCTTTCCCCTCCTGTACCTCATGCAGCCCGCGGAAATTCAATTTGGTAGACGTCAGCCAAAGTTACCCCCTCCAGGCCGGTTCACATCCCCAGCCTATCGCACAGCAAACGCCCCCTTCCAATCACTCGTACCGGCCAGGCAGCCGCTTAAAAGCGGAGAAACTCCCACTTCACGGCCTCCCGAAGCCTCGCAAAGAATCGTTCTGGAGGAATCGCTTTTGTCTACTCACGCTTACTCCTGCGGTCCCTGCTGTCCTCTGTCTTGCTGCGTGTGGTCTGCTCCTCCTGTCGCTGCACCTGCTGCGGGTCTCGTGCTGTGGTCCGTGGGTCTTTGCCGCTCTCCTCCTTTGCGGGCTCTTTCTGCGAGTTCGCCGCTGCTCGTCTCGTCGCGGCCTGCTGCTGCATACGGCCGGTCTGGACCGGTGCGGTGGGAGCCGTGCGCATCCCTGCCTCCTTGTGCCGGTACGGTGTGGTACTGTTGTGTTGTCCCTTGTCTTCTGGCGTTGTGGGTAAGTATGAGATCTGCGGACGGTTTATTCCCCTCGCATTGTACTGCAGGCTCAGTTGGCCCCGTGCATTGGTGGGCAAGCTTCAGTTTAAAGCCCTCGCATTGGTCTGCAGGCTCTCTTTAACCAAGCTCCGTTTAAATCCTTCACTCTGACTGCAAGCTCCGTTTATTCCTCACATTGGACTGCAAGATCTCAGTTTAATCCCTCACATTGGACTGCGTGCTCCCAGTTTTAATCCCTCACTTTGGCCTGCAGGCTCTCTTTAAATCCCTCTCTGGACTGCAAGCTCTGTTTAAATCCCTCTCTGGACTACGAGCTCTGTTTAAATCCCTCTTGGACTGCGGCTCCCAAATTGAATCCCTCACATTGGACTGCGAGCTCCCAGGTTAATCCCTCACGGAACTGCTTATATCTGGAACTGCTTATATCTGGAACTGTTATACCGTACCTGGAACTGCTTCATGTGGAACTGCTTATATATGGAACTGCTATATATGGAACTGCTATATATGGAACTGCTATATATGGAACTGCTATATATGGAACTGCTTATATATGGAACTGCATATATGGTACTGCTTATATCTGGAACGCTTATATATAAAAATAAATAAATATAAATAAATATATATAAATATAAATAAATATAAATAAATAAATAAAAAATATATAAAAAAAAACTGCAGGCTCTGTTGGATCCCTCACACTGGACTGTAAGCTTTCAGTTTAAACTCCTCACTTGGACTGCGGGCTCAGTTAATCCCTCACCTGGACCGTAAAACCTGTTTAAATCCCTCACACTGGACTGCAGCTCTCGGTTTAATCCCTCACTTGGACTACAAGCTCTCAGTTATAAATCCCTCTTTTAGGACTGCGGGCAATGTTGAATCCCTCACTCTGGACTACAAGCTCTCAGTTTAATCCCTCACCCCGGACTACAGGTCGTTTAACTCCCTCGCACCGGACTGCAGGCTCTCAGTTAAACGCCTCACTTGGACTGCGGGCTCAGTTTTAATACCTCACTTTGGACTGCAAGCTCTGTTTAAATCCCTCACTTGGACTGCAAGCTCTGTTTAGGTCCCTCGGCGTCTCGTGTCCCGCAACCTCTTCCCGGCTCTCCGTGAGCCCCAAGTCGGCACGCGGCTCTGGCGCGGGAGGTGTCCGTGGGCTACGTCATTGGCCCCTTCTCTCCGTCTCGCTCTAACCCGATGGGCATCGCCACCCGCAAGCACTCCAGGAAGAAGCGTCTCATACTCGTCCTCTCCTGTCCCCGCTCCGGGCCCGCCCGAGCATCCACAGCCCCTTCCCTCCAGCGCCCTTCTCCCTGCAGTCCGCTACCGTGGACCACGCGATCAGGCTGATAAAGACTTCGGCCCCGGCTCCTGGCTCTCCAAGGCCGTCATCCCGGACGCGTTCAAGCTGCTGCCATCCACCCCGACCACTGGCGCTGTTCAGGGGTCAAGTGGCGTCGGAGTTCTTCTTCGCAGTGTGCCTCACCTTTGACTGCCGGAGTAGTCCCTCTCGTTCAACAATCTCTCGGAGGCGCCGTGTCGGATTCTGTTAATTACGCGCGGCTCCCCTCTGTCCCGCATCTCCCCGATGATTCCCTCGTAGTCGACCCACCCTCAGACTGCTCCGGGGGCTCTCTCCGCAAGCTCAAGCTCGCCTTCTCTGCCCTCGGATTCCTCCACTCCGGAAAGACCACAGGCCCCGCCAACGCTCTGGAGTTTCTCGGCATCCGCCTCGTCACACGCGCCATGGAGGCCTCCCTCCCGCTGGACGAGCTCGAACGCATCCGCGCTTTCTCCCGGTCTGCCTTGGCCTTCCCGTCACTTCGAGGCGTCCTTGCTCTCCCTCCTCGGGCATCTAATTATGCCGTTCGTATCATTCCCCAAGGTCGTTCTTTTAATTCCAGACTCCTCTCCCTCGCCGGCTCCGTCTCCTCCCTCAATGACGCTGTCTGCCCGGACGCGGGGCGCCGCTCCGACCTGGCGTTCCGGTCCCGTCTGCAGAGCCGCTGGGATGGTGTATCTCTTTTTTTTTACAGTGACGTCATCCTGTCTCAGATGCCCCGCGGTTCTTCACGGACGCAGCCCCGTCCGTGGGTTTTGGGGGTTTTTCCAGGACCAGTGGTTCGCCGGGCCCCGGCCCGACGCTTTCCCTCGAAGCATCTCCTCCGCGCTCCACGAGATATATCCCGTGACCGTAGCCTGCGTGCTGCGGAACCATACGTGGCATAGGAAAAGGATTTCCGTGACGTGCAACAACCTCGACGTCATTGAAATAATTAACAGAGGTCGTTCATCCTCTCCCCAAATCACACCCTCCTTAGACGCATCACATGGCTCTCAGTCCTGAACATTTTATCATCACTGCTCGTCACGTCCCTCGTCACCTAACTGTCTTGCTGACTCTCTCTCTCGCTTTAAATTCCAGGAGTTCTGACGCCTCTGCCCTTCTGCCAATCCATCGCCATGCCAGATCCCCTGCACGGAATCCCTCGCCCTGGTCTAGTCCCTCCGTCTCTTCACCTTCTCTCCTCCGCTGCATCCTACACGAAATGGGCTTCTTACGCATAAGCGAATTCACAAACTCTCACGCCACCTTCAATGCAGTCCAAGACATTGCCTTCTCTGACCTGTCATATTATCCCGACTACTTCAACCTCTACCTCAAGCATTCCAAACGCAAAGGCGCTTGCAATATAGTCATAGCCCGGTCTGACACTTCTCCCTGTCCCTACAGATCCATGACGCATTACACTCGCCTCCGCTCTCGGAAAGGAGATCTCAACGGACCGTTATTTCTTACTCCCGATAACCTCCCAATGTCATCCAACTGGTTCAGAGCCCAACTCAAGTCCGTACTGCTGCTTTGTAACATGTCTCCCCATCTCTACACAGCCCACTCCTTCCGGATAGGCGCCGCGTCCCTTGGGCTCCCCCATTCCGCCCTCCAGCAGCTGGGTCGCTGGTCATCATCGGCCCTCTCCTCATACATCAGGCCTGACACTTCGACCATTCTGGCAGCCCAGCGCCTTTTGGCATCTCCATAAAACACTCGCTAAACTTCCTGGTGGCGGCAGCAGCTGAGTATCCGCAAGTAATGGTCACAGTAGATAGCGGTCACAGTATATAGCGATAGCGGTCACAGTATATAGCGATAGCGGTCACAATATATAGCGATAGCGGTCACAGTATATAGCGATAGCGGTCACAGCATAGAGCAGTCTCGACGTTCTTTCCCCCTACAAACCAGGCTGCAAAACTCCATCAACTCACAGCCTTTTTGGGGATTGGCGCGCTCCATCGCAGGAGCCTCTCCGATCTGAAGGCCGCACCGGGGCCTAGGGCGCCAAACCTCCTCCCAATAAAATACTCAAAAGCTTCTTGTTTTCTCGTCTCTCCAAATTGAAATACACCTATAGCAAAGAAGCTGAAGACAAAACAATCAGCTGATGCCATTGAAATAGAGAAATTGAAAATTTTACAACAGATGTCAACTGCTTTTCAGGCTGGTAGAAGCAAACCTGTAGCTGATAGTGACAGTATCTTTGGAACTCAAGTGGCTGAGGAGTTGAGATCAATCAAAACACTCTGAGAAAGACAAGACTAAAGAGAAAAATAATGAACGATGTCTATGAAGCCCAGGAAAATGATGCACAGGCATCATAGCAGCAGACTTCATATCAGCAACCACCAAGTATTTACCCTTTCCCCTCCTCTGCTCACATGCCCAATGCACAACCAAACCCTCCACACACATATACAGGTCCACAAGAACCACCTCACCACACAGGGGCACAAATGCTACCGAATCAGTACCAGCTTCAAAATAATGAGACGCATAGCTACAGGAGAATGCTAGAAGACGATTAGTGCATATGATTTAAGGTTATATTTTCAGTTAAAAGGTTCTCAAGGTTTACAACTACCTCTTGTTTTTGTGGTTATAAGAAAACAATGACATTGTTCTATCAAATGCATTTTCAGTAATAACTGTGTATTTTCTTTTTTAAATCTATATTTATTTCAGCCTTTTTATGTCAAGGCCTTAAAAGTTGCAGTTCACCACTGTTTTTCAACTGCTTAACCATTCCACTGCAAGTGACGAATAAATGTTTGGTTGGATTATTTTTATCCTGAAGTGAATAAGGAGGTTGTGTATTTTTCTGACTGTGTTTGTAGTTTCTTGACCTCTACCCAACACTAAAAAGAGTAACATAGCATTATTACAAAACGTGTTAAATGATGTTAAACCATTTGGTCATGCAGGCTGTTTAATTTGTTACTAGGGAATTTCAGGTTGCACAAAATAATGATGTTGAACAGAGGTGTGACTTTACAGTTTTGTATAGAAATAATGCAAATTTGAGGCAGTTCAGTTTTTTCTTATTTTTCTTATTCATGTTACATTTCCACAGTCTTATCATGTAACATTTCCACAGTCTTATCATGTAACTTAAACCAAAGAAAAAAGTACAGCAAAAGGGCTGTATTTACAGAACTATACATTTAACAATGCAAAATTGAATACAAAAAAGAATGACTTTCGTGTGAGCCTAAATGTAGTTGTCCTGCCAGGAAACCTTGCCTGCGGATGAAACAAAGTAGCTCTTCAGCTTTTCGCGTTGTTGTTTGGCTGCCATTGAGCTGTTGCAGGGTCTTCCAGGTTGAAGAGGGAGCATGGCTCCCAGACCATCTTGTCTCCAGGCACCCTCCACAAACCCATGGTCACCATCTTCTGAGTCAATCAGGGCTGGAGGTGCATGTGTCAGACATAATCCCACACAAATAATTGTGGAGACACACACAAGCTAACGCAACCTTCTGTACTTTGTCAGCATTGAGCATTATTGTGGTGAGGAACACTCTCCACCTGTTAGCAAGTATTCCAAATCCATTTTCCACCACTCTGCGTCCTCGAGAAAGCCTGTAATTAAAAACTCTCTGCTCATAATCCATCTGACGAATAGAGTATGGCTTCATGAGGTCTGCGCAAAGGATAAGCATCGTCGCCCAGGAACACAAAGGGGGCTTGTATGTTTGATAGCGGAAGTGGTTTTGCTGCAGGAATATTGAGAAGGCCCTGGTCCAGTGCTTTCTTGAAGTCAGACTCGTTAAAAACTCCTGCATCTGATGCTCTTCCTTGTGCTCCCACACTGACGTACAGAAACTGGTACTTGGCATCTACAAGAGCCATCATCAACACAGAAAACCGCCCTTTGTAATTACGGTAGATACTTCCACTGTGAGCTGGGGGCAAAATGTTTATATGTTTCCCATCTAGGGCCCCAAGGCAATGGGGAAACTGCCACTTTTGATGAAACTCTTGTGCAATGTCCAGCCATTCCTCCTCTGTAGTTGGTGTCTGAAATGACGAACTGATGAGTCAGGCAAATAATTCCAATATAATTTGAATCAAATTTGTTAAATACTTAACACTATTCACAAATAAATATGTTGTCATAACCTTTATAACTGGTTTTATCGAAGTACTTGTTTGATAAGAAGAAAAAAAGACTACATGAAAGGGGGAAGGGAAATCTAATCTGAGAGGAGAGTTAAATTTTAAAGTAAAATATGCCAAAACAGCTATGAAACGTTTTAATGTTTCTGTTGGTGGCATCAAACTATTGAACAGTCTGTCAGAGGAATTAAAACAAAGCAGCACCATTCTACGCTTCAAAAGTTTATATAGATATAACATATAATGGTATATGTATAAGGTGTGTATGTATGTATGTGTCTAGATATGTATGTGTGTGTGCGCGCCGCATGCTTAAGTGTTTTAGGCTCGTACTTAGGCTTCTATTTACGTATTTTTCATGAAGATAAATATATTTCACTGTTTGTTTGTACACTTGGAAATTTTTTGCACCATCTCCCTTGTTTCTACATAAATAATGCATTTGGTACATGAGAGGTAGGACCATATAAGCTTTTGCTTCTTCCTACTCCCTTTTGAACACGTGAATGGAATAGAATTTTTTGTTTGCGTATTATGATTATATATAAAGTATTCACATGTTTCAATATAAACTAAACATAACTAAACTAAACTACATGCAATGCATGAGTTTCATTACCTTGAGATAATCCTTAGCCAATACTCGGTACAGGGCTTCACATGTTTCAGAGACAATTTGAGAGATGGTTGACTTTCCAACTCTAAACTGGAAGTTCAACGATGTAAAGGACTCTCCTAAAAAGAAACAACATTGGAAGTGACTCCATTTAGTAAATGTAAACACAATATACATAACAGGCTGTTGCAAACAAACCTGTTGCCAAAAACCTTAGCGTTAACACCAGTCTCTCCTTAGCAGATATGGACAGCCTCATGTTTGTATCCTGCTTCGTGATCAAAGGGGCTACTTTATTGAGGACAAACTCAAGCTCCTCCACATTCATGCGTAGTAGTTATTTGACCCCTCTTCTGTCAGAAACCTGTAAAATATATAACAATCTAAATATTGTCTATAGGCATAACTACGTCAGCAATTTCAGTCCACCAAGGCAAATGATGGAAACTAAATTCACAGCTATTTCAACGCTGACGGTTAGTACATCTGTAGGCTACGACATTCATGAGGACAAAAAAAACAACTGACCTCCATATCACGATGTAGCAAGTATAATCCATGCTCGCGTTGTCGCCACTTCTTTGACCATTGCCTTTTCTTTGGATTACGTGTCTTCTCTGTTAACAACAAACTGCACACTATCGCCACTGCATCCTCTTCGTCCGCCATGACTGTTTACTCTGAAGTCACGCTTGATCTCGAGAGATTTTGTGAGATTTCCGTCTGACCTGGGAATGCTCGTGTGGCTACGCACCACACACTGCACGACCAAAGTGGTTAGACGCAGGATTTTTAATCTCCCCGTGTGGGGTCTAACACGGAGAAAAATTGGCCGACAATTTTAAAATCGTCTCGTGTGAACCAGGCTTTAGCTCTGTCGGATACATCTTCAAACCAATCGTACCAGAAGTAGCTATCCCAAATGCAATATACAAAAAATAAACATTTAAAACATCACTTGACATTAATTGAAATTTCTCTTGTAGCTCAACAAACATTAATCAAAGGATCTGAAACCAAAAATAAAAATGTGCCCAATCAGAAACGTTTCTTAACATACTTGACCTCTCCTGCTACAGAGGCAGCATAAATTAGAAAAATCATTTTGCTGCATACAATATATGGATTTATGGAGTGTTTATTGTCGGTAATTGTGGTTAAAAATATATATAATTCAGTCATGCATCCAGCTATGTACAACACCAACTGCATTGTAAAGAATGAGGCGCCGTCAAACTGCTCAGCCTTACTCCAGCGTGTTCAGGCCTTTCCCATCTCTGTCCCAGTAAAACGTAACACGACCGAGACTGAGGACGACGATTGTTACGTGGACTCACAGGGAAAGAGAAGACCAATCCAGAAGAAGGTCTCGCTAATGAACCCGACACCAACCTTGTCGAGGCTAACCTCCCAGCACCAGATCCACCAAAATGCAGATCACCAAGTCCACCGGAAACAAAAAGACTAGCAGAGAACCTTGCAAAAGAGAGTCAAGAAAGTAGCCTCCACAGTTGACAACCCATCACCAAAGTCATCAACAACAAGGACTCCTAACCACAGGGACTGGCAGAGGAAGAAGACAGAGTCACATCCATGATTGACAACGCATCACCAAGTCCACCAGCAATACTGAATAAAGAAGGAGCAAGAGCCGGAGTCACAGCCAGCAGCCGAACATGTCAGACTTTCCCTTTGAAATAGTAATAGCACACACATATATAAAACAGGGCATGGCCTGGTTAGCACTGTCATGGAGACCTATGGGAGTAGCAGGTGCCTGGAGTGGGACGCTTTGGCAAGACACTTCACCCACATCCCTGATTCTACCCCGGTCAGACCCAGGCTTGAAATGGGAGGTACAGTCGGGACAAGGCGACAACAGCTGCAGTTGGAAAGAGTTGTCTGAGTTTGGTTGAAGTTGTTCATATTTACTGCCGAACACATACTTCCTACAGTAAAAGAAGAACAGATGAACAGGACACAGACTCTGACGATCGCTTCTGAGGATATGGGACCTTTATTTGTTGTATGTGTTTTTACAATTGTTGTAGACGGAACTAGTCCCCCAATGTTTCAATCCAATTTGACTTATTCTTTAAAAGCCCTGAATCACAACAGTTAGGACTTTAAAAAATCGTTGAATTTGCCAACATAGATTGGAGAATGAAACTGTTCAAACACGGGAAAAGTAGTGATAAAAAAAAAAAAAACATGAATCTGTAACATTATCTAGACAGGGTATTACTGGCATTGTTATGGGAACAGGAAGAACCAAAGAACGTCCAGACACAGTTGAAGATGAAACCATTTATTACAAGTGAGGGTTTGGGCAGTGGGGTCCAAGGGCACAGAGGCTGGGTCCAGAGGTGCAGGTAAGTGACAGGGCTGGGTCCAGAGGTACAGGTAAGTGACAGGGCTGGGTCCAGCGGTACAGGTAAGTGACAGGGCTGGGTCCAGAGGTACAGGTAAGTGACAGGGCTGGGTCCAGAGGTACAGGTAAGTGACAGGGCTGGGTCCAGAGGTGCAGGTAAGTGACAGGGCTGGGTCCAGAGGTACAGGTAAGTGACAGGGCTGGGTCCAGAGGTACAGGTAAGTGACAGGGCTGGGTCCAGCGGTACAGGTAAGTGACAGGGCTGGGTCCAGAGGTACAGGTAAGTGACAGGGCTGGGTCCAGAGGTACAGGTAAGTGACAGGGCTGGGTCCAGCGGTACAGGTAAGTGACAGGGCTGGGTCCAGAGGTACAGGTAAGTGACAGGGCTGGGTCCAGCGGTACAGGTGGTGAAAATATCCACAGGGCACACAGGTGAACTGACGAACTGGCAGAGAGTGGTGGAGGAGCCAGGTTTAAATATGGAGAGCTTGATTGTGGATGGATTGCAGGTGGTGAGTGAGTGCAGCTGGTGAAGGCTGCTCCCAGATTGATAGACACGCGCACACGCACACGTGCGCGCACACATACACGTTTTTGTTACCTGCTGGGGCCCTTTGACAGGGCCGTTCAGAATGGGACCCATAGACATAATCTTTTTTTACCAAGACTTTAAGTAATACAAAACAGTCAATAGAAACCAAACAACTATTTTAAAGGAATTTTATTTTAGATTTTGTTTTCGAATTGCAGTGATTCTATTTTTGACATAGAATTTAATGCCACTCCATGTCCGATGTCTAAGGTCATCTGGTGAGGCATTAATGCAGGCCAGGCAGTGAGACTTCCCAGGGACCTTTCCAGTCTGTATGAAAGGTGTCATGGTCTTCTCCACAGCCTTCACCTCAGATGCAGACCATGGCTTTCTTACACGTTCTAGGGAGAGAAATAAAAATATATTAGCAATATACACTCCCAGGGTGAGGACCAAGCAGCCTGGCTGTAATCCCCCACCTGGTACACTTACCAGAAGGGGCACTGCCACTACCATGGGGTGCATCTGGATGAATGGTTGAAGGTTCTCCGCTTGAAGTTTCTTTTAGCCCGTCCGTTTGTGAGAGGATCTCTACTGCTCTCCCTGTCGCACAGAAAATAAAAATACAAGTGGCCTTTAGGGGAAAAAAATCATACATATTTTAATAATATCAAGAATTACCTTCAGGCTCAATTTGTATCTGGTCGAGGCTCTTTCCTTCGAATTCCGTCACTCTTCCCTGCTCCATGGCCATCAACACTTTGCTGATTTTGGCCAGCTCCAGTGTCCCCTCTGGTAGTCTGTAATATTGCCTGTGGATGCGAATGTCATGGCCGAGGAAGTTGGCAAGTATGTCCATCTCATTCTCTTTCATATTGAGAACTGTAGACATAGTAGCTATGTGCTTTCTAAGTTTGGTTGAGGATAGCATCTCTGGATGCACCGCACCACATTCTTTGGCTACCTGGCGTAGGGAGTCTGATCCCCTGATGTGGGTGTCTGCGCCCGGGCGGGAAAAGAAGTATGGGTTATGGTCAGAGATGGAACAGGCCCTTCTGTTCTCCACCAGCACCTCCATCGAAGCAATCATTTCAGGAGTCAAAAGAACCGGCACTTTCCGACTTCTTTTCCCTTTAATTTCAATGCGTTGAAAATGCTGACACAGCTTTTTCTCAAGTTGGGACAGTCCCAGAGCAATGTCAGAATGGATCCCAGTCTTACTTCTTAAGGTAAAGGCTGTCAGTGGCATCTTTGAAACCTCACCTTCCCTTCTTCGATTGAAAATGATGACCTCACAAAGAGTCAAAACTGCCAGTTTAGACCAATGCTTAGACGTTGGCTCACTTATTAGGGTTTGCACATATTCAGGTCGACATACCTCAATATGTGCATGCATGGCTCTAACGTCCTCAGTCAGAGGGAGCAGGTCCGGAGTGTTTCCACTTGGCTTGCCGGAGGGTCTGTAGGGCAGCAGAAGAAACACAGACGTCCCACCTCTTCTCAAAAAGCAGCCGGCTTCGTTGGAGGTTTTTAATAAATAGTTCATCAACACAATGCTCCATTTTTGAGTCACATTCAAGAATATCTGCTAGCTTTCTGAGGCTATGGCCGAGTTTGAGGGCCAAGGATGGAGTCTTGTATTGATTTGTTTCCTCATCATATCCAGCCACAGACCTGACTGCATCAATCACATGGTTAAAGTTGGAAGGAATAAAGAAATCCTTAATTGTTTTCAGTTTCCCTGCGGTTTTTGCTTCGTTAATTAACCTACCGACTTCTCTCATTTTCTGCCTAATGTAATCATGCTTAGTCTTATCATGCCCGTGTTTTAAGTACAGGTGCTCTCCGAGTCTCAGAATCCCCTTTTCTGCTTTGACAACACCCGTGACCTCATCCTGATGCATTGCCGAAATTAAAGACCACAGCTTTTTGCTGATGCCCTCCGGTACAGGCTGGGCTAGGGAGCAGAGGGACTGGACCCTACTTCTACCTGGTTTAGCCTGGGCATCTTTCTGTGAAAGCCGGCACCTGGCCACATGCCTCCACAGCGACTTTCGCTTAAGCAATGCCCCACAGTCTATACAGTGCAAAAACTCACTGGATTTAACTGGGCAATTTGGCTGTTTAGCTGGGACTAAAGTTCCAATGCCGGCCTTTAAAACCTCAAAATTGTGCTCACGGTTTCCACTATTCCTGATCAAATCAAACTGAAGTTTACGTGCTTTAGATTTCACAGGTAGAGCCAATGCTCTGGCTACGTCACTTTCATTTCCATGTTTTCTAGTCAAATGACGGGACATTTTGTGGCAGGACATTGAACAGTAGAGGCAGAAGTGTCTCTTGCTGTATACTCGCC